AAACCACGGAGATAGAATGCCATTTTAGTTATATCATATCAAGTGTACATACTACCGACTCTTAATTTTGACATAGGATACTTTTGTATTCTATGTATACATTTAGATTTTCAGGTTACAGTCTTCACTCTTTGGGATCTCTAGTCTCCTAAATGATTTTTTTTTTTTTTTATGAGGAAGATTCATCCTGAGCTAACATCTGTTGCCAATCTTCCTCTGTTTTGTATGTGGGTTGCTGCCCCAGCATGGCCACAGGTTGTGTAGGTCCACGCCCGGGAAACAAACCCAGGCTGCTGAAGTGGAGCATACCAAATTTAACCACTAGGTAATTGCGGCCAGCCCTAAATGATATTTTTAAATTTGTGCACATTAAGATTCTCTTTATGTGCTGTAAAACTCTATGCATTTTGACAAATGCATAGCATCACTTATTGACCATTACAGTGCCATACAGAATAGTTTCATTGTCCTAAAAATCCCTTGTCTCACCTATTTAACCCTCCCATCTCCCCCTGAACCCCTGGCCACCACTGATATTTTTACTGCCTTTATAGTTTTACCTTTTCCAGAATGGCATATAATTGGAATCATACAGTATGTAGCCTTTTTAGACCGACTTCTTTCACTTAGCAATACACATTTAAGGTTTCTCCATGTCTTTTTGTGGTTTGGTAGCTCATTTGTTTTTATGGCTGAATAATATTCTGTTGTATAGGTGTAGTTTATTTACTCATTCACATATCGAAGGCATCTTGGTTGTTTTCAGTTTTGGGTGATTATGAATAAGGCTGCTATAAACATTTTCATGCAGGTTTTTGTGTGGATAAAGTTTTCAAATCAGTTGGGTAAATACTTAGGAGCACAATTGCTGTATCATATGGTAAGACTGTGTTTAGTTTTGTGAGAAACTGCCACACCGTCATTCAAAACTGTACCATTTTTCATTCCCATCAGCAATGAATGAGAGTTTCTGTTTTTGTCCACATCCTCACCAACATTTGATATCGTAATTTTTTTTTAAATTTTAGCCATTCTAATAGGTATGTAGTGGAATCTCATTATTGCTTTAATTTGCAATTTCCTAAGAGATTTTTTGCATCTTTTCATGTGCTTATTTGCCATTTGTATATCTTTGGTGAGGTGTCTGTTCAGATTTTTTGGCTATTTTTTAATTAAGTTGTTTGTTTTCTTATTGTTTTTTGTATATTTAGGATACAACTCTGCTATGGTCTGAATGTTTATTTCCCCCCGCCCCCAATTCATATAAGTAGTTGTGGTCTTTGGGATGTGATTGGGTCATGAGGGTGAAGCCCACATAAATGGGGTTAGTGCTCTTATAAAAGATCCACAGAGCTTCCTAATCCCTTCCACAGCGTGAGGTTACAACAAGAAGTCTGAAGCCCAGAGGAAAGCCATCACGCAACCATACTGCCACCTTAATCTGGGATTTGCAGGCTTCAGAACTGTGATAAATATAAATTTCTGTTGTTTATAAGCTACCCGGTCTGTAATATATTGTTATAGTGACCCCAAAGGACTAAGACAAAAGTTCTATGTCAGATATGTGTTTTACAAATACTTTCCTCCAATCTGTGGCTTGTCTTTATATTCTTTTAAATTGTCTTTGACAGAATGAAAGTTTTTAATTTTAATAAAGTCCAAATTATCAATTTTTTTCATTCATACATCATACTATTGGTATTGTATCTAAGAACTCATCACCAAAACCAAGGTCACCTAGATTTCCTCCTATGTTTTCCTCCAGAAGTTTTATAGTTTTGCATTTTCATTTGTCTATAATCCATTTTCAGTTAATTTTTGTGAAAGTTAGTTAGCTGTCTATATTATTTCTTTTTTATTTTTAGCATTTGGATGTTGTAAAGGGTTGGATAATGTCCCCCCAAAATTCCTTGTCTGTATGCAACCTCAGAATGTGATGATTTTTAGAAATGGGGTCTTTGCAGAAGAAATTAAGGTGAGAATCTCTGGATGAAATCATCCAGAGTTAGGGTGGGCTCTAAATCCAATGACTTGTAAGAAGAGGAGAGGACACACAGAGACGCAGAGTAGAACACCACGTGAAGGTGAAGGCAGAGATTGGAGTGATGCATCTACAAACCAGGGAATGCCAAAGATTATTTGTAACCATCAGAAGCTTGGAGAGAAGCATAGAATAGATTCTCACTGAGAGCCTCCAGAAGGAAACAACACTACTGACACCTCAATTTAGGACTTCTGACCTCTAGATCTGTGAGAAATAAATTTCTATTATTTTAAGCTACTAAGTTTGTGATAATTTGTCATGGCAGCCCTGGGCAAGTAATCAGACATCCAATTATCTCAGCAGCAGCATTTGTGGAAAAGACTATCCTTTCTCCATTGAATTGCCTTTGCACCTTTGTAAAAAATCAGTTGAGGGCCAGCCTCAGTGCCTAGTGGTTAAGTTCAGTGTGCTCCACTTTAGTAACCTGGGTTCAGTTCCCAGGCGCAGACCTATGCCACTCCTGTGTCAGTGGCCATGCTGTGGTGGTGGCTCACATACAAAAAGAGGAAAATTGGCAACAGATGTTAGCTCAGGGTGAATCTTCTTCAGCAAAAAAAGGAAAAAAAAAGATCAGGTGATTATATTTGTGTAGGTCCATCTCTGGGCTCTCTATTCTGATCCATTGATCTGTCTATTCTTTTGCCAATACCACACTGTATTGACTACTGTAGTTTTATATTAGGTCTTGAAGTTGGGTAGTGTTAGTCCTCCAACTTTGTTCTTTTCCTTCAGTATTATGTTAGTTATTCTGGGTCTTTTGCATGTCCATTTAAACTTTAGAATCAGTTTGTTGACATCCATAACATAACTTGCTGAGATTTTGATTGGAATTGCATTGAATCTACAGATCAAGTTGGGAAGAACTGATATAATGACAATGTTGAGTCTTCCTATCCATGAACATGGAATATCTCTCATTTATTTAGTTCTTCTTTGATTTTGTTTATCAGAGTTTTGTAGTTTCCCTTATACAGATCTTGTATGTATTTTGTTAGATTTATATCTAAGTGTTTCATTTTGGGGGTGCTAATATAAATGGTATTGTGTTTTAATTTCAAGTCCAACATACTCATTGCTGAAATACAGGAAAGTGATTGACTTTTGTATATTAACCTAGTAATCCTATAACCTTGTTATAATTGCTTATTAGTTCCAGGAGTTTCTTTTGTTGATTTGATTTTCTGTGTAAGGTGATCCTGTCATTTGTGAGCAAAGGAAGCTTTATATCTTCCTTCCCATTATGTATATCTTTTATTTCCTTTTCTTGCCTTATTGCATTAGGGAGAGCATTCAGTATGACATTGAAGAGGAGGGGTGAGAAGAGACATCCTTGCTTTGTACCTGATCTTGGTGGGAAAGCTTTGAGTTTTTCACTATTAAAGTATGATGCTGTCTTTAAGTTTTTGTAGATATTCTATATCAGATTGAGGAAGCTACCCTCTGTTCCTAGTTTACTGAGAATTTTTATGATGAATTGCTGTTGGATTTTATCAAATGCCTTTTCTGCATCTGTTGATATGATCATGTGACTTTTCTTTTTAGTCTGAGGATGTAATGGATTACATAATTGATTTTCAAATGTTGAACCAGCTTTGCATATCTGGGGTAACTCCATTTGGTTGTGGTGTATGATTTTTGAATATAATTTTGGATTCAATTTGCTAATATTTTGTTTAGGATTTTTGTATGTGTGTTCATAAGAGATATTAGTCTATTGTTTTATTTTAATGTCTTTAGTATTTTCTTTTTATTCTTTTTAGAGTTTCTGTATCTCTGCTTACCTTATCCATGTGTTTTTGCATGAGTCAACTTTTCCACTGGAGTCCTTAATATATTAATCATAGTTATTTTAAATTCCCTGTCTGATAATTTCAAAATCTGTACTCTATTTGAGTCTGGCTCAGATGCTTGCTTTGTCTCTTCAGATTGTTTTTATTCTTGGCTTTTAGCATGCCGTACGAAAGCATGCTAAATCCAGACTTGATGTATCACGTAATAGGAACCACAGTAAATAGAGCTTTAGCATAGGTTCATGAGTTTTATGTTAATTTGGCTAGGAGTTGTGTTGTGTTTACTGTTTACTGTAGGTCTAGGTATCAAGGGCTTCAGATTCCTGTAGTTTTCTTTGTTTTTGTCTCCCCTGTTGTTTTTTAATTTCTGTAAGAACTCCTTGTTAATTAGAGTCTGAGCCTTGCAACCATGTCAGCTGTATTCCACTGTCATTTTATTGGAGCCAATTGATGTAGTGGTAAATAGTAGGGGAGAGGAATTATTTTAAAATCTTATAGTTAAATCTCACTCTTTTAGTGGGTGTGTGTCCCTTGGCTGTGACCTTTACAAGTTTTCTTACCTTATTTTTTTTCTCCTTCTCCCTCTTAGATGAGAGGGGAAAGCTAAAGGGAACTGGAGTTGACTCATTGTCCTTCCAACTACATGAGATAAAGTTCTGGTAAAGTCTTTCCCGGTGGAGAGTAGGTCTTTTTATGGAAAATGCACTGGGCTTATTTCACAGTGGTATTTTCCCTCCCCCTGCCAAAGATATAAGGTGATTTTTCTTGACTCTTCACCATGAGAACCTGGTGAAATTCCTGCTGGTGAAACCTATAGAATTTTTGGTCATCCCTAAGACTGGAGCCCCGAGGAGTTTGTCACCCTCAAACTAGTTCACATGCAGCCTCCAGAAATTCCTCAAAATTACCATTACTCATCTTATGTTGGTTAATTTATGTTTCAATTTTTTCACTCAATAAATATTTATTGACTAAGTAGTATATGTCAGAAATACTTTTGGAAGCTACATATCAATGGTGAAGAAGATAGAGGCGTTCATTTTTCTAGAGGAAGACAGGCAAATAAAACACAGTTATAAAACAGAGAGATAAGTGTTATGATAGGGGTAAGTCCAGGATAGTATGCAAGTGCATTTCTCTTCATTCATACTGTGTTTTATTTTCAGATTCTCCACATGGGATAAATCACAAAAATAATGAGACAGCTGTATTGGGAGAAAATGTGACAATTTTCTGCAATTTAACGACTCCAGCAGATGTTGTGCAAATTACCTGGCAGAAGATCCAAGATTCTTTGCCACAAAATATTGGCACATATAGCAGTAGATATGGAGAAAAGATCCTTCCACCATACATAGATCGTCTGCACTGCAAAGCCGTCGAACCCACTTCCTCGTTCATAACTATTCTTGAAGTGACATTTGAAGATGAAGCCTGCTACAAATGTGTATTTAATGTGTTCCCACACGGCAGCCGTGGAGGAGAAACCTGCCATAACTTTATAAGTATATAAATGTTTTACGTAGAGTCAAAATCATGGGGATGTGGTCTTTGAAAGTTAAGGTCCAGAGAAAGAATATTAGAGAAGGAAAGGATATAATAGAGGTTGTCCCAGGACAAGTCTTTTGTTATACAGAAGAAAAAAATGGAAGCCAGTGATTGGTACATGACTTGTCCATTTTCACACAATGCAGATTCAGGTATAGCGTTTAGATCTTCTGCCCACTCATCTAACTTTTTTGCTCTACACTGCACTGACTTTAATCCTGTGGGTAAAATTCAAAAACAGCATCAGGATTTTCATTGGGAAAAGAGAAGAAAAGAAAAAGAGACAGTAGAGCAGGAGAAAGAGGAAAGAAGTCTACTCTAAGAGAACAAGAATTTCCCAGTCTTCAAATTAACAAAACATTGATGGAATAGTGATAGTGTCATAGTGTTCTTTCATTATGTTGCTATAAATTTAAAGTATTGGGGGTTTGTATAATGTAATTTTAAGGTTGAATGAAAGTGGAAATACCAAATGTTCTTCTCAAATTGGAGGATAGTGGGTATAAGAGATGAAATTGTGAGATTTTGTAAAATTTGAGGAAAAGTATCTGAGAGGGACATGTTTACAACATTTTGGCTTCACATAAAAATTTGGGGAAGTCCATCTTTAACACCATAGAAATCTGATATGACACATTTTTAAACTTAATTTTGTTTCTCCTTTTTTGCCTCAGCTGTATCTGAATTAAGATCTGAACTCCAGTCCAATCTTGACTCTGAAGATTTTCTTCAATTTATTTACTCAGCTGTGGGAAAACCTGCTCCTCAAATATCTCTTTTCCCAGCACAAGTCTTGATTAATCCACCAGAGGAATACCTTGCTCAGAATCCAAATGGCACAGTGACTATCTCTAAAACGTACAACGTCTCCTTAGAGACTGTTAGGTCCCTAAGACTCCAACACCTGATTGTGTACATGGATCATCCTCTAAGGAATGAAGAGAAGATTGTTCCTCTGTCAGTGAAACAAGAATGTAAGTAAAAGTAATAATCAACAAGGGGAAATATTTATCTTTAAAATTCACTACCAGAAGTTTTGTGTCTTCGTCTATTCTTAAAAATGTAAATCAATGTAATACTCATGCATAGTTAAAAGATTCAAATAATGAAGATATTCTTTACCTTAGCCCTGCTTCTGGGGGTAACTGTTCTTAAAATTTTTAATTGATCTCATTTACATGCTTTCAACTGAATTTCTGCCACAATCAATGAAGATTAGGCTCATTACACTTCCTTCAACTTTTCCTCGCTCTATTATAATTCCTTTCCTCCCAAGATAGTTCTTTTGCTGCTTACCTCTGCAACTTTCAACAGCATGGTTAAACCTGGTTTTTGTTTCATCCACCATAGAAAGTCTCTCTTAGACACCCACTTCTCCTTGCCCACCTTGGTCCCAAGCTCTGTCAACTGCATCTTCTGTTTCAAAGTCATAATTAAACAGGGTATAATGTTCCTAAACAGCTTACATAATAATTTAAGTATATTAATATGTTTAAATAATGTAATTTTCTATGCAATTTAAATAATTGTTTTTATACTCCACCTAATAATCTTTTAAAACTACAGCATTTAGTCTCTATATATTTAGTGTGAATATTGATATATTGGGGTTTTAATGTATACTACTTTACTATTTATTTTCTACTATCTGACCTATTTTATGTCTCTTTCTCTCTCTTCCTGAATTCTTTTGGATTATTTATTTTTATTTCATTTCCCCCTTTAGTAGTTTGTTAAATATACATGCCTGTACCCTTCTTTAAGTGGTTGATTTGGAGATTATAACATCATCCTTGACTTATTAAAGTCTGATATAATTTAGTACTTCCCAGATAATGCAATGAGTTTGTATCAATTTCCGCTCTTTGTGCTCTTTTTTTGTACATTTTGATTCTTTGCGTATATTTAAATATCAAAATATATTATTATTGTTCCTGTTATTTATAGTCATATTCCTTTAGATTTACCTTTTCTGTTCTTTTTTATTTCTTTGTCTATGTTTGAACTTTCATTTTTCTGCTGCCTAAAGAATTCTTTTTTGTTTTTCCCTTAGTGCGGGAGTACAGATGGCCAATTCTTTCAATTTTTTTGGTCATAAAATGTTTTAATTTTTGAAGAACATTTTTACAAGATTCCTAATTCCAGTTTGATAGTTATTTATTTATTTTTTCATCACTTTGACAATGGTATTCCGCTGGCTTCTGACTTTCACTACTTCTGTTGAAAAGACATCTGTCTGTTTTATTACTGATCCTTTGAAAGAAATGTATCTCCCTGCCTCCCCTGGCTGCTTTTAAGATTTTCTCCTGGTATTTGTTTTGCAGCAGCTTTACTATTATGTACCTTGATGTTGTGTTCTTTGTATTTATCTTGCTTGCATTTCCCCAAGCTTCTTGAATCCGTGGATTAATTGTCCTTCATCACTTTTGGAAAATTCTTGACTATCATCTCTTTACATATTGCTCCTGTCCCATTCTCTCTCATCTCTTTCTAGGACTCTAATTATAAATATATTAGATGTATACAATAATTAAATTAGATGTTTTTTAAATTCTGTATCTGAGAATTCTAATTTCTGGATCTTTTCTGGGTCTCTTTCTATCGTCTGTTATTTTTTTGTCATAGTTTCCTACCAGTGCAGGATAGTTATGTATAGTTATTTTTGACTGCACACTAGACCTTGAATATGAAATATTGCAGAGATAATTGAGGCTTTGGATTTTTTCTTTGTCATAACTTTATTGAAATATAATTCACATACTGTACACTTCACTCAAACTGTGTCATTCGATGATTTTTAGTATATTCACGAAGTTCACATAGCCATCAGCAAATCAATTGTAGAACATTTTCAGCACCCCAAAAAGAAACTCAGTATCCTTTAGCCATACATTCCAACCCTCCATACTCCTAGCCCTGGGAAACCACTAGTCTGCTTTATGTCTCTACATATTTGCCTATTCTGTACATTTTGTATAAATGGAGTCATACGACATGTGGTCTTTTATGATGGATGGCTTTGTCTTCCTGAGAACACTTACTTTTGCTTTGCATGGGCATTTATTTTAGGGATAGATTACTTTAATTCAATCAAAGAGTGAGATGATTTGAAATGGGCTTTAGTCTTTGAAAGGTAAAGTCTATTTCTGGTTCACTCTTACCTCCTAGAGTGTAAGTATTTGGAGTTCCAGTTTTAAGCTGTGGTGGATACCAGAGCCCTTTGTCCTTGGCAAGCTCTTCCTTGCAATTTTTATTGTTCTAGCTCTACCTGACTGCTGAAATTTCTGCTCAGCTTCTCAACGTTGACTTTCTCCTTAATAATTGATGATTTTATTAGGGGAAAGAGTGTATCCAAATGTGAGGCTTACTTCTCTTGGCTTCCCATTTTTACTGAATGTTGGCCTTACAAATTCTTAATGACTTGATAGCTCTTTGATGCCTTCAAAAAAATTTTTAACAATATTTTGTCCAAATTTTCTTCATGTTCCTAGGAAGAGGTTTGTTCCAAAACCACCTAGATCATTGCTGGAATTGAAACCTTCTCTTATTATCCAATTTTATACTGGCTATCTCCTTTTCAGCTTTTACAACTGCATTTCCATAGCCTCATTGTCAACAGGGCTCTTGTCACCTTGTTCAGGAGTTAATGTGCTTTGACCCCAGTTTCCAAAAGTGCGATAAAGTACAGTTTCCCACCCTCATCACATAGCCTTAGATATTTTCTATAGAAATAAAGAAGAGATCCCAGTTTACCTGCCAACTAGAGTTTCCATCTATTCCTCCAGAAGACATCTTCCTCCCAAACAAAGGTAGAAATTCAACTCCCATTCGAGCATTTTCCCCCATTTTCTGGATCTCTTTATGTTTGGATAAATACTACCGAATAAGCTTTGGATGCCAGTCATGGTGGGGGAATCCTGCTTACCTCTTAATCTATGATAATATCACACCATTATATCACAGATAATGGTATAAGTTGTCCAATGGTATTAGTTACATAGTAATAGTCTGTTTTTCCATTTATGTTTCACAGGCAATAAAATAATTTTTTTCTCTCAAGTTTATCATTGCCTTTTATCCAATTTTTGTTAGTTTTGAGGCTCACTAGTCTTTGTTGCATCAGTTTTTCCCTTTTGAGGGCTAAACAACAGCCATACCATTCACCGTGTGTGGCACTGCCACCATTTGTTTAATTTAGCAGATAATCATTGAAGCCACCCACTAGGAGTCCTTTCAGTAGCTGTGTCTGTAATAATATTAGGTTGAACCATATGATATTGATAATATTCAACCATTCTTATCTATAAAATAAGTAATTTTATAAGGTTAAACCTAATATAAGTATACCAGGTTAAACTTAAAATAAGTAAGGGAATATCATTTGAACATTGTCAAGACCAGGCTAACAAGGCCTCCAATCGTGAAACGTGCCACCAACTTTGAGGGCTTTTCCCATTTTTCAATACCTGGGAACTTTGATCAATTCCTCCTTTCAGGGTAAACATGCCAAATTCTCAACTCTACCCATTCCAAATTGGAAAGAGATGGATATTCCCTATCCACTTCCCTTCCAACTTTTCAGTCTGACATAGGGCAACATATATTGGATCTTGTGGCTGAGGATCCAATGACAAACCAAACAATCTTCACCATTTTCTAGTGTCAAAGAGTAATGTACTCTCCCTTTTCTATTTAAATAGGGGACCTGAGACAATGGTGGCTCCTCTACACTTTAAAGCAAATGCTCTAATTCTTTTATAGAAACCAGGAGTTTGGGTGATTATCTTGCCATGAATTATCTCACTTGAATATCCTAATGAGCTACTAGGAGATGTAAAGAAATTATTCCATGCATCTGATTAAGAAACAACATTTCTCTGGGTTGTCACAGAACTTCAAACCATTAAGCAAATAGTGGTATCATTTTTGCTTTTTCAATATACCATATACTTTTAACTTGAGCCTTAAATTATAGCCCAAGACATTTTAAGTTCCATCCCTTGACCTTCATTTCTGGGTGCTTCTTCAAACTAGTGGGCTACATCACAGGCTTCTGGAAGTTAATGAAGACATGTACATATTCTACTGAAACATATCCTCTGTTAAGGCCTTAGCCTTTTCACACCACATATTGTCAGAAGACATAATGGGTTAAGCAGCATCTTCCCTCTTTCCCTCCTCCAAATTACCCTGACGATTTCCCCTGAAAGATTTAGGTATAATCAGTCTGGAGTCTTTGTGTCTGTCCCACTTCAGATGCCAACCTGCATTAACAAAGTTGCGTCAAATTTCAATATTAAATATGGACTGAAGGACTGACAGACATAACTTGGACAAATCAAATGAGATTTACTTATCTAAAGGACACACAAGGAAGTTCACAACCAGAATATACAACAAAGGGATCAGCAACATTCTCCAAGGGAGATATAAGCTTTTTCTGTGAACCAGCTTGATAACAAGATCAGAATAGACAGTCTAACTAACATTAATCAACTGTGAGTGTTTAGTATTTATACAGTAACACTTCAAATCCTAGACTTTGTAATGAGACAGAGTGAAATATTTTCTTTTTCCAAAATACACATTGAGAAGGCAAATAGTTTATTACAGATCGTTTCAGAAACCACAAGACTATAATACTTCTGCATAGCTTTCTATTTCCATGCTGTACATAAGGGAAGGTACAAGGTAATGACTTTTCCAGGACCTTACTTGGTAGGACAGCTTACAATAAAACTTAGAGTATCTAATTCCCAGTCTTGTATCTTGATAGCTTTCATAAAATTGCTGTGGTGGGGGTGGGTGAGAACATTAACTAAGTCAGGTTAGTAAGCAGACTTATTCTATTTTATTAAGATACTTTTACAGAATCTATATTTTTGGTTTTGGTTTTTATAAACTCAGGAAAACGGTGAGAAGGGTAAAATTTCTCCATAATTTGTCACATTCACCCAAGAACCAAAAAGCACAACTAGCCATCAGTGATGTTGAATCATAAAGGTTGAATGAATGAAGGAGACATCACATCTTTTGGAAGCCTAACAGTTTTTGTACATAGCCAGCTATTGGAGTATTGGAATGAGTAGTCTAGTATATAATCCAGAGGGGCTAAACATAACCTCATTTAGAGCCAGGACATCTCATCAATCTCTGAATTACACAATCTCTGGAGTAACGTAAATAAAGCACAACATGATAACTGGCACAAAATGAGACTATTGTAAAACAATACACTCAGGCCAACAAAGATTATCCTTCCATCATTTTCAGCCTCTCTGGGATAGCACAACCTGTTCTAAGTAGAGTCCTAAACTCAATGCTGTAGAATTAGAATAACAGGCAATTTTTCTACTGACAGAGTCAGTACTACCAGAGTAGTCACGCTAACAGGCTGCAGGATCTATCCTATGGTCTTATAATGCTCTTACATGTGATTGATAGCTTGCTTATTATACCACTTTAGGTTAACCATCCTTCTGCCCTCAGAACTTCTAGAGTATTTCTCCATCTTCTGTGACTATCCATTGTTATTGATGAGAAGTCAAATGTCAATCTGATAATTGTAATAATAGACACTACTGTATCTTCTCTTTATCCTTAGAATTCCAAAACTTCCTAGCCCTATTTTTAGGTGTTTATTTTTTAAACCCTGTAATGTAATGGGTATTTGGTGAGTTCATTCAATCTAGAGACTCAAATCCTTCAACTCTGAATATTTTCTCATTTCTTTGAGAATTTCTCCCCTGTTCATCTAACTTATTCTTTTTTTATAAACTTCTAATTTAGTGGGCATTAAGATATTTAGATTGGCTTTTATTTTCTCCTTTTTTTAAATATCCCTATCTCTTTTTTTCTTTATCCTATCTGGGAAATTTTCTAAAACTTGTCTTGAAATTCTTTCTTTCAATTTTTCCTTCTTTTGACAATTGGGTTTATAGTTTTGAATTGCTTTTGCAATTTAAAATTAATTTTACAAATTAAAATTTCTTTAATTTTTTCATACCCTTCTCTCCCTATTTTAAGGAAGTAATATGTTCTCAAATTTATCTGGGAATAATAGTTTAGAGGTGTTATAGTTATCTTCTATTTCTTTTATTACCTCCTCTTCCTTTCTTTTATTATCACCCTCCCCCCTACTACCATCATTTTAATTTTATGTTTCTTTTTCTCAGTCTTTTTGACTTTAATTACAGGGTTTCTTCAAAGTCTAGTGAGTCTTCACTAAAGGTTTACAGAATCTTTATTTGGTTTATGGCATCTTGTGAAGAGACAGACTTTTCTTTGTAGAGAGCAGGCTGCAATTAGCCAGGAGGCTTTAAAAGCCAGAACATAGAGGTCTTTACTCTGGTGCGCTGACCCCTACTACCCTAGTTATTCCCGTATGTTCAATGTATTACTTTAACTATCCCTCCATTTTTTTGGCTAAGGGGTAAGTGCCTGGCTGTCCAAAGCTGTGCTTTGGGATATGGAAATGGGTGCTTTTGACTGTGACTTTCATTCCGTGATTCACTCCTCCTTCCTTTGTCATCTGAATTCTGAGCCTCTCCAGGTACAGCAGAGTCTCTCTGCAGGTGTAGTCTACTTTTGTACATACGTGAGCCTGTAGCTTTTTTTATCCTGCACCTTCATTCTTCTACCCTCTTTACATTTTTTATAAGTTCATTTAAATCTCCTACCAATGAAGGTCACTCTTCTGTATGATTATTTTTCATTTAATCATTTTATTTTTGTTACTATAATTTTAATGGAGTCTCAGAAAAGAGTAGAGATAAATATTTTTGTTACATGTGTCTTTTGCAGTTGAAGTCAATCAGCTTCTCTTTCTTGGCAATCCCCAAATCACGAAATTGGGATATGTCAATTGAATAGCATATGTATCTCCTATCAATCTATTGGCTAGATTATTATGGTTAATTTCACTTCTCACAGAGATAAGTATGTCTGTAAAGAAGTAACATCAATTCAGAAAAGCATTCTTCCTTGCTTAGCATTGTAACAAATATTTGGGATAGAAATCCCCGATTCTGCTGAAATCTTTTTAGAGTTTTTTGTCCCCCTATGTTTTGTTGTTGTTGACTTAAGGGCTGTGTTCACATTTTAGTGCCAGATTCTTCCATTCAACCTCCTCCACTCATTTTGAATCAGCTATGCTTCTCATTGAAAAAGAACATAGTTAAAACTGGAAACTGAGACAAAGTGATGTCTGAACAGTCAAAATTAAATGGCACAAAGTTCCTCAACTAAAAAACATGGACTTTCTAATAGTATCTCAGGGAAGAAGTAATTGCTAACAAGAATTTCTCTTTTCCTTCAATGGTAATGGAAAATTCAAAGCAGCAAATTAAAAAGAGGTGAGAGGTTACAGTGAGCCGAGAAATAACATCAGTCTGACAATCCGAAAGAGGACAAAAAACCTATCACAAGCAGACCTAAGAATATAAAATGCACAGTAGTTCATGCCACTTAACGTAAGCGCAAATTTCCTTAAGGTCCATCCACAAAGTGTATAGGTTTATTTTTATATTATATCTAAGAACTATCATTGATAATCATAATGATGGCCTTTGTTAAACCTAAGTTGCAATGAAAAATGTAAATTATATTCAGAAGGCTAAACAAAAAGAAGTTAAGTCTGTAATACAATTTAGGAATATTGTGGTCAAATAGCTACTGTAAAAAGTGTTGATATGTTTTTTCTTAAGAGTGCAGGCTCTGGAGTCAGACAGAACTGAACTTGCTTCCCAGTTTTGCCACCTAATCACTGCGTATCTTTGGGCAATTTTCTTAACATCTCAGAGCCTCCATTTTCCCATTTGTACCTAATAATTGTACTCACCTCCTTGATGTAAATAATCCTTGTAAAATGCTTAGAACATTAATCTTCAATACTAATTATTATTATAAATTTATTTTCTGAGGTTATTGCAGACTCTTTGGAAATTCCACTTTAGTAATTGAATAATATTTCATCAAATAACTATATTATATTTCGCTTAACCATTTTTAGGTGGTTATATCTAGGTAAATATTTAGGTGGTTATATCTTTTTTTATTCTTGAGAGTGGTAGGATGATATTAAATATTATGTCTTTAATTTGAATATGCATTAGTATATTCTTTTATAAAATGGAATATGGCAAATAATCTTATAGTATCAATTTGAATCTTAACAAAGCCATGGTAAATCAAAAGAGCATTACAGATGAAAGTTACCTAAATAATACAGTGTATAGAAAAGAAGTCAAGTCACACATAGCATGTTCCTGGTTTATGTTTTTCAGGTACTTCTGGTTCTTCTTCTATTTGGCTGCCTATAGTTGGTGCATTCATAATTTTTCTACGGATTTCACTTATTATTCTCTTTATTGTTTGGAGAAAGAAAAGGTAAGTTGTATTATGACCTGTCTGTGATAGAGAAGGTGGGTATAATAGAGCTAGTTTCAAATCTGAAGAAAAACAATTCCAAAATTCGTCATGGCAAGAATCATCATGGAAAACTCTTTTCCATGTGCTTGGTAATTCTTGCAGCCAAGGATTTATCCTTGTTAAAATGATACCCTACTTGGGATTGTTATAAAGGTAGGCTGTTAGTAATCATTCATGCTTATGGTGAGTTGAGTTTGAGATTCTTTCTTGAGGACAGATTTTGACAGAAAATGCATTCTTCTCAGTGTGGGAGACAGAGACACAACTAAGGTAGAGAAGTTCTTTGCCTTCAGAAGCTTACGTCCCAGTGGGGAGAGGTAGTCAATGAAAATATACAAGGAAACAAGGAAATACTGGTTAGTGATAAGTACTATTTAGAAAATAAAGCAGAATGGTATAATTGAAAAAGACTATGGAGCTGGTTTATGTTGAGAGGTCTATCTGAGGAGGTGACATTTAAACTGAGAACTGAGTCAGAAAAAAGTTGTGAGTGAAGTTCTTGGCGAAGACTGTTACAGACAAAAAAGGAAGAGTTAGTGTAGATTCCCAGGTGGGAATGAGCTTGGTGTGTCCCAAGAAGAAAAGAGAACGTCAGTGTAGCTAGAGCGAGGATTTAGAAATAGCGATGGGGGCCAGAACAGGTAAGGCCCATAGGCCTGGAAAGGCATTTGGGTTTTCTGTTATCAGTAATATCAATCCACCGAAGTATTTAGAACATGGGAGTACAAGGTTCTGATTTAGCCTTTAAAAAGATCTCTCTAGCTGGAATGTGGACAAAGTTTCTTAGAGGTCAAGAATGAAAGTAAGAGATTTTCAAAGAGAAGATTTCCATAGTCAAGATGGGAATTGATAGTGATCTGGGCCAGGGTGGCAACAATGGGAATTGAAGGATATGTTTAGGATGACAAGATTTGCTGATGAATAAGATGTGGAAAGAGTGAAAGAGAAAAACTATCCTGATGATTCTAAACTTTCTGGCATAGATGAAGGAACCTCTTATAAATAAAGGGAAGATTAGAGAAAGAACAAACTTTGGAGAATGGACCGAAAGTTCTATTTTGATCATGTTAATTTTTAAATGTCTATTTGACATGTAAGGGAATATGTCAGTTATCCATACATATGAATCTGGAATTTGCAGAGCAGATAAGAACCAAAGGTATAAATTTGGGAATATAGCAGGTATGTTCTCTAACAGGATGAATCATAAGTTATGACTCTCACTATTTTCGAGTAGAAATAACAGGCAAATTCTGTAATTGCAGTACAGTATTTTTATGCTGAACTAAGCATTCAAAAGATATCTTGATCAATGTCTCAAGAGAATTGGAATCGGAATCTCCCAATTTTTTATTCATAGCATACTCTTACAATGTACTGCCATTAGGGGGAGTGTTTGGGCTGTATTCTTATGGATACATCAATGTCATTATACCTCTAGGTCACAGAATGTGCTTGAAACACCCCAGCTGACACAGCCTGACATGGAGACCTTCAAGAGCCACTTTCTTCCTGCACACAGGTAATTAGCAGGTGTGTGATTTTTGCTCTCACTGTGTATACTTCAAATTTAAGACTTAACCTTCCGTATTAAGTCATCCATTTGGTAGCAGCAATTATCATTTTCAAAATAAATAGAAACAAAGATTTGTTTATATTATCCAGTTTCATGAACTAGTGGTTTCAAATGAGGTTATGTTAATGCCTTTGAATGTTTCTATTCATCCTCTGATTCAGGACCCTTCCCAATATCACCACTTGAATGGCTGCTTTGATCTGTGTTTTTTTCTGATTATTAATACGTATGAGCATGTCTTCATATATTTGTTAGCCATTCAGTTTTCTCCTTCTGTGAAGTTCTTCTCTACATCTTCATGCGATTTCTGGTTGGTTGTCTATTTGCAGAAATTCTTTATGTCCTAGATTCGTTACATACTAGACATTAATTACTTCTTCCTATTTGGCATTGCTCTATTAAATTTCTCAGTTATATCATTAAGAGAATAGAAGTCTTTAGTGCTTTAATGTTGTGAAATCCATCAATTTTTCACCTAATAGTTTGAGTTTGGCATCTTATTTAAGAAGTCCTCATCCACCTAAGTTCACAAAAATATAATCATATTAATTAGTTTCATATTTTTCTATTTCGTCTTTAGGTCTTTAAGCCTTTGTACATAATATAGGATTGATAATTTTCATCAGTCATATAATGAGCCAGATTTCCTAACATCAGCTTCTATATAACCTGTCCTTTCCCTACTGATGAGCCCCATTTTCAGCTCTCTCGGGTAGGACTGTTGTTCCGTTATTTAATTTTTTGTTTCATAATTGCATATAGTTTTATTACTACAATCTTTTGTTATGCATTAAAATATGGTAAGGAGAGATTCCCAGCTTTTGTTTTCTAACTTGATGTATCTATTAATGGACACACACACACAAACACGCGCACATGCACACACACATATCATGAAATAAACTTATTAAGTTCTTAAAAAAGTACAGTTGGAATTTTGGTTAGCCTTACCTTGAATTTACAGATTAATTTTTGGAATATTGATATCTTTACAGTGTAATTTGCTTGACTCATAAATATGTTATCCATTTATTCAAGTCTTTCTGAATGTCTTTTAGGAAAGTTTTAAAATTTTCTCTCTGTAGATTTTGTGTAATTTTTGCTAAGTTAATTCCTTGGTACTTTTAATTTGTTCACTATAATAAATGGCATCTTATATTTTTAATGAAATTTTCTAACTAGCTGTTAGTGGTTTGGGAAGAGTTCTGGATTTTGTAAGTTAACCTGTATTTGGAAACTTTGATAAACTCTTTATTAATTCAAAGTTTTTCTGTTGATCTGATGGTTTTCCATGTAGACAATCATCCTTCTTGCACATACTGACATTTTTGTTTCTTCTTTTCCAATTCTTATACCTCTTTTTTATATTAAAGAACAACAATAACAATTATCTTTGTCTTGTTTCTGAATTTAAAGACCTTGTCTAAAATTTTTCTAAGTAGGATATTTGCTGTAGTGTTTGGCCATTAAGCATATTATCAAGTTTGAGAAATGTTTTATTATTTCTATTTTCTGTAGTTTTATCATATATAGGTTGTTGAACTTAAGAAGTGATTTTTTTGTACCTATTGAAATAGTCATATGAATTTTCCGTAGTAGTCCACTAATATGATAAATTACACTGACAAATTTTCTAGTGTTAAACAGTTCTGGTAACTTTTTTTTTTTTTTTTTTGCTTTATATTTATAAGTAAACCAGGACTGTTATTTCATTTTTTTGAATTATCTTTCTCTGGCTGTGAAATAAAGATTTCAAATTAAGGTTTTGAAATTAACATTATCTTCAAAAAAAGAGCTTAGTCATGTAATATTTCTTTTTTTAGAACCAGGCATAGGATAGAGTCTTCTATTCCTTAATAACCATCGGGGTCTATGGGATTTTTGGTAGGGGAATTCTTTAATTTCAATTTAGTTGCTTTCAAAGTTATTGGCTTATTCAATTTTAAGTTTTTATGCTGATTTTTATCATTTTATTTCTATTTTTTAAAAATTTTATTCTATTGTGGGAAGAACATTTAACATGAGATCTACCCTCCTAACAAATTTTTAAGCATAAATATAGTGTTGTTGATTATAGGTATAATATTGTAGAGTAGATTTCTAGAACTTATTCATGTTGCTTAACTTATGCTCATTGGTTAGTAACTCTCCATTTCTCCCTCTGCCCAGCCCCTGGCAACCACTATCACACTCTTTGATTCTATGAATTTGACTATTTTAGAGACCTCACATAAGTGGAATCACACAGCATTTGTCTTTTTGTGACTGGCTTATTTTACTTAGCATAATGTCCTCAAGGTTCATCTATGTTGTCACATATTGCAGAATCTCCTTCTTTTTAAGGCCAAATAGTACTCAATTGTATGTATACACCACATTTTCTTTATCCATTCCTCTTTAGATAGACATTTAGGTTGTTGCCACACTTTGGCTATTGTGCATGGTGCTGCAATGAACATGGGAGTGCTAATATCTCTTTAAAAATCTTGATTTCAATTCTTTTAGATAAATATCCAGAGGTGGGATTGAATCATATGTAGTTTTATTTTTAATTTTTGGAGAAACCTCCATGCTGTTTTTCATAGAGGCTATACCATTTTGTATTCTCACCAATAGTAAGGGTTCCAATTTCTCCACATCCTAACCAACACTTGTTGTATTTTGTTTTTTGGATAATAACCATCCTGACAGGTGTCAGGTGATATCACATTGTGGTATTGATTTACGTTTCCCTGATGATTAGTGACATTGAGCATTTTTTCATATACTTTTAGGCCATTTGTGTCTTCTTTGGAGAAATATCTGTTCAAATTCTTAGCCTATTTTTTAGTCGAGTTATTAGGTTTTTTTGCTATTGAGTTGTAGGAGCTCTTTATATATTTTGGACACTAACTTCTTATCAGATATAAGGTTTGAAAGTATTTTTTTTCAGGGGTCACGTTATCTTTCATGATAATATGATTAATTTAGAAACACACCTGGGAACGTGCCCTAGATAAAGTTAAAACTAGTTTTAGAAACTCATTAGTCCAGATGATGTGACTGTAATTGAAAGAAATAAGTTGCAGAGGCTCAGGACAGTCCCCTCTACAAGCACTTTGGGGCTGAGACAAGATCTCCAAGATTCAGATGGAGGACAAACCCTGAGAGCAACCAAATGTGTTTGCCTACCCTGGGGTTACTTGCCAGTATATCTGAACAATTGTTTCCGGTTCCACATCTAAAACACACGTAAATAGGTTACAGTCTTAAATGTCATTAATGAAAGTGCGAAACGAACATTTGATGTTTGTAATGGGTTTTATGACTTTTAAGGATCCCTGAAAATATTTTCTCCCATTCTGTAGGTTGCCCTTTCACTCTATTGATTGTTTCCTTTACTGTGCAGAAGATTTTTAGCTTAAGGTAATCCCAATTGTCTATTTTTGCTTTTGTTGCCTGTACTTTTGGTGTCACAGTCATGAAATCAT